GAAGCAACGTCTTCCACAACTAAACTGAAGAACAAATGGGCAGCAACTTGTCTGTTCCCCCTCCCCCAATTCCCTCCCCCCAAAAAAGAGAATAAGACAAGGGGAAAAAAAAAAAACACATAAAGATTGAAAAGAAAAAAAATAGTTATTCATGGACAATATGACTGTCTAAATAGAAAATTCAAGACATCTATAACCCACCAGAATTAATAAAAGCAATAAGCAAAGAAGCTGTGAATAAGAGAAACTTATTTTTTTTTAAATAGTGTTCCTAAGTGCCTGCGCAAAAACAAAACGGAAAATCTAATTTTTAATATCTATTTACAACACTAATAAAAAAAATGTAATGCCCTGGGTATAAATCTAATGAAACATACATAAGAGTTTTAAGAAGAAAATTATAAAAGCATAGTAAGGTACATGAAAATATAAGACCTAAAAAAATGGAGAGATATACTATGTTCATGACTGGAAAGACTCCATCATATAAAAATGATAGCACTCCCCCAAATTAATCTGAGGTCAACACCATTCCAATCAAATTCCAATGGGGGTGGGGAGGGTCAGAAAACTTTCCTGACTGATCTTACAATGTTTTGGAAGAGGAAAGGGCCAAAAATAGCCAAGAAAATGTGAATAATTGGTACATAAATAGATTAATCCTAGCAGTTATCCAGATCTCCCAAAGACTATGTGGTGTTGGCACCTAAACCATTAGAAAGAACCGAGCCCAATGACAAACCCTCACATGTATGAACAGACGACAGAGGGGACCTGACAGATCAGTGCAGAGAGAACAGACTCTTCAATAGTACAAACAAACTGGTGATCTATATGGAATGTAAAATGGATTCCTACCTTATCTCATAAACAGAAATGAAATCCAGATGCAATGAAGACCAGATGTGGAAACTGAGAGTGAACTTTTAGATTAACATAGAGAGTATCTTTATAATCTTATGGGAGAAAAGAATTTTTTAAACAAAGTACCAAGAAAACCACAGACCATAAGGGAAAGGACTGTTACGTTTGACATTAAAAATTTTAAATTCTGTAAAACAAATGCCATACACAAAGTTAAAAGGCACGCCACATAAAACCGCATAGTAACACACACACACACACACACACACAATATGCATGTAAAACTAGTGACAAAAGACGAATTCAGAGTGCATAAGGAATTCTACACACCAACAGGAAAAGGAAAAACAACCCAATAGAAAAATGGACAAATTATATGAACAGGCAAATTATCAAAGAGGAAATCAGAGGACCCATAAACATACAAAGTTTCTCAACCTCATTAATAATCAGAAACTATTAAAACAAAACAAAAAACAAACCAATGAAATACCATTTTGCTTTCTCAAATAGGCATCAACATTTAAGTCTCTGTAGTAACTAGAACTGACAGGGATGTGTGGGAATTTCCATACTGCCATCAAAAGCATAAAATTAATTCAAGTATTTTGGAGAAAAATTTAAAAATTACAGTCTTTAAAGCTGACCATGTGCAAAGCTGTGACGTAGTAATTCCTTTTATAGGAATCCACCACTACAGAAACTCTCACATGTACAGATAAAACAATTTGTTGGCAAATGTTAACCATAATACTGCTTATCACACACAAAAAAACGGATAAACCTTAATGCCACCATTGAAAGAAAAGGTTTAAAAAATTATGGTAACAAACATTGACAGCTGAAGTGATATAATGGCTAAGATTTGCTTCAAAATAGTGTGGGATGTGTCAGGGTAGGGTAAGATGGGGGACTGGCTATATATTATAAATTAATAATTATTGATCAGTATATGGTCTCAGTATATGGGCTCACTATACTATTATTTCTACCTTAATATATGTTTGGAATTTTCTATAATAAAAAGTTTTAAATTTTGGTATACTCATAGACTAGGATCCTAAAAAGAAATTAAAATGAGTGAACCAGACTTTCTTCTGTCAATGTGAATATATCTCAGTGAATTGAAATGAATAAAAGCAAGCTGCAAGAGGTTACATTATGTATGTAAAATTAAAAAGCTCATGCAATTATATATTGTTTATTGATACATAGTAATATGCAATAGGTAGATATAAAAACATGGCCAATAAGACACATACCAATTTCAAGAGAGGGAGGGAAGGTAATAAAGAGCACGTAACTTTTTATTTCTATTAGAAGACAAGTTTGCAGCCAATACAGCAGATGGCTAATGTGTACACAATCTGGTTAGTGACAGACAGTGTAAGAGGGACTGCCCCAAAGTTAATAAAGGCTCCACAGGAGAGGGACCATTTGAATAGTGTGAATGAATGGATGAGCCTTCATCAACCCAAACAGAACAAATGAAAAGAAACACTAACTCAAGAAAAGGCTTCTCCCTCAGAGAACATTTCCACTTTATCCAAGAAAACAACCTACACAAATGGTCTCCCCATATGTCTGCCACAAAGCAGACGGGTCCCAGGTAGATGGGTCTCCTAGCCAAAGCACTCTCACGATACAGGCCTTTTCCCCTACAGACCACAGACTTGAGGCCACACCAGGAGGCAATAATAAAGTACCGCCTTCCCGAGCCCCACAGTACCCAGAATGATGAGTGCTTGGCAAGCATTTCTGAATCAGTGAATGAATGTTTTTACGTTTGTTCATTCATTCA